AGTGAGAATCATAAGTTAATTGAGTTTTTGGTATATTTTCTGAATCATTAATTAACTGAGACTTTATTAAGGCACCGACAGCCCGTTTCGGGTCATATACCCATTAAACTTGATTCGCTGATCGTTGCGTACTTGAGGCTAGGTGTCTGTCCTAGTTGTCTGTGCTAGGAAAACGCTTGTTTGTGGCTCCTCAAGTGTATCTTGCTCCCCTTTCATTTGCAGCTTTCCGAAGGTAGGCCCTTGGCCTATTCTACCAGCTTCTTCTACTCCTTATTTCTTGACTTGTCTTTAAATTTTGGTAAAAAATACTCTGAAGGCAGAACTATGTTCCCGCTGCGCCTTCTCGGCATAGCGAACCTTCTTTTTTGGTAATCGACTATCTTCTAACGACAGCTCCGCTTGCAATTGGCTTGGCTGTACGAGATATCTATCTTTAGGAGCCGTTACCGAACCACCTGCAAAGAATTTGTTCGTACGGGAGTCTTGGACGTGAAAGCCGGAACTTCCAGATTTACTACTCTTACAGATCTGTCTTGGCTCCATACCTGGGTTGCCTTCAGTCACTCGAAGGTATGCTCAAACCGGCGTTGGGTCTGACGGGGGCTTGTCCAAGGATACTGGACGTACAGAGTGGGAGTTTCCTTTATGGTACTCGACGGTATTCTGATTTTGATATTTGGTTGACGGAATTTTAGCACCGAGCAATGATTGAGAATGGAAAATGTGTTGATTATTTCATTTTTTCTTGGCCACGTACTGAGCCGGAGCCTTTCAGCGACCAGGTAATTAATGAAGAGAATGCAAGAGTCAGCCACGGAAGAGACCATATTGCCATTGAGCCACTATTATTCTTGACAGCCGGAAAATATCCAGTAGGCTTCGTCAGAAAGCTTCCTGACTATAAACCATTCAACAGCCATGAAAAATTCAAGACACCCTTGACTAGGGAAGATATTAAATTCGGCAGGCCTCTCGTCTAGAGCCTTAGTGTTTGGAGAAAACAAGCCCACCCCGCAACACATGCGATGCCTTATCACGCACTACGGTCTCAATGTGAGAGCTGCTAGATACATATAGATAGAAATGACCGCGCTTTGCTTTCTTCGAACCCTGCAAGTCGCTCGACCCATAGAGAGAGCTTCAATAAACTTATTTTCATTGATTGGTGCTATAAACACCTAAGCCATTCACTACAAGAATAGTGGTAATGAAATGCTCAGTGCATTAAAAATTTAGTCCAGCGTGCCCAACCCTGGGGTTGAAGCTATTATCGACATTTTTCGATAAGTTTATTGATAGTTTAGTTAACTTTATCGATATTTTAGATAACTCTATCTATATTGATCGCTTACTTTATCGATATTTTTTCCATAACTTTATCAATAGTAGATGTACATCGAAGTAGTTATCGATATATGCACATATCGATGCACTTATTAAACACTCTTCACTTTAAATTACTGTTATATGTATGTATATTACTCTCGATATATTTATCTCAAAATAAAACTTTTTACTCCGTCCATATGCAAGCATTCACATTCAAATATTTGTTTATTTATTCCCTGGAAGGTCGTGAAACAAATGCCCACAATCGCTTCGAATAAGCAACCCACAATTGCTATTATAACGGCACAGTACTGTGAAAAACTTGCGGTGGACGCCATGTTGGAGAACAAGGAAACATTTGTACGCTATACTACAGTCGGTAAGTCTCACCGCAAATTCTTACATACGTATCTATTTTACGCGAAAATATGCAGTGGCAAAATTTTTGAAATTTCATGAGTCGTCCAGCCACTTGACTGTATCGCAATTGTTACCTTAAACTAAAAATTTTTCCTACATCTCAATAATATTCACATGCAATTATAACTGAAAATGGTCTCAAATACTAACGAATTGCAATCATTTTCTTTCTTCTTTCTTCCTATTTACTTGAATTGATCTGACTTCTTATTTATCGGCGATATGTCCACTGTCCAAACACTACTTCTCCATTCCCCAAATGCAAATGTCGACAAAATTGAAAAAAAAATATATATATATTTAAAAAAATTATAAAAACGAAATTTTCTGATACCAGATACCGATCCCAATTTAACAAACACACTCAGAAAATCTAAAAAGAAAAGAAGATTCGGTAAGAAAAAATTCGCTGTCTTTACTTTAACCGCTAATTTCCTTTGTTGTTTGTGGTTTATTGTGTTCTCCTTGTTGTTGTCAACGTCTGGTTTACGGGTATATATCATACTTACATCCATACATACATACATACATACTATGTGCATTTCTTTTTGTAACTATTTTGTTGCAGCATTGTACAGATAAAAAACAAATAAATTATTTTTGTGTTTCGCACATTAAAACATACATATGACCCATTCCATACATTCATCCATGCGTGTTGTGCATTTGCATTCATATGAGTAAAAATTAAATCAGTGAGCGTTCGTATTAAAATATGTGAAAGCTCGGAATCGGGGCCTATATTTCTTATAAATTGTCCCATTTTCAAGTTTTCGAGTTTTTCGAGGCTTTCTTGTTTTATGGGAATATCCTTATTGCATCATTGCCAAACAAGCTATTATGAACGTTTACAATAAAAGAGATTCACTCATATGCATGCAAAAACAACTTGTGTTACATACATAAATATCCCATAGATCACAAGCACCCAGCACATTTTGAAAACACTAAGAATAATCTCACTCAATCATTCGCTTGGACTTCATATCTATATTCGGTCCTATTACGGTTTTCGACGTCGACGTCAATGTAATTTTTTCACCAAATTATAGCCCCTGTAAGTCCAATTCCAGCTACGCTGACCACAGTGTTTTTGCAAAGAACACCTTTCCGCAAAAATACTGTGTTCATTATTCTATGAAAAAATTACAAAAGTTGCGCGGAAGTCTACTTTGGCTCCGGCGAATTTTGTCGACTGCGGTCGATTAGATTACCATTTACCCTGGTTGATTTTCATAAAATTAAAAAAAAAACTACTCCTGTCCACGACGGCCTTTGGGCCGATTGATAAAATTTATTTTTCAAAGCAAACGAAAAATAACACAAAAACGATCAACTTTTAAACTGAAATAAGCTTAACAACGAAATTGTGGCAGAAAGAGAAGTGACGTATTCTTTGACTAATTTTTGGATACACTGAGCCTCTGATTACCTTTATCATCATGTTAATTTCCAGTGCCTCGATGATTCCAATAAACGCGGCTACTATTTATTGAACCTTTACTGAGTCTCTTACCACGTCCTGAACAGCCAATATGTATATCCTAACCTAAATCGCATGGGCAGTATTCAAGCCTAAAAATATTTTATTTTATTCTTATAGGATAGGAAGACAAGTACATCGTTGCCATGTATATGCATTAGGGTGGTCCAAAACTACACAAGAAATATAATTTTTTGAAATTTTCTTGCTGCCACCCTCCAGAATCATAGAAAATAGAAAATTAGGTTAATGTTTAACCGTGCCACCGGGGCTTTCAAGTTCTCCATCAATTTTAAATGGGGAAAATACATTTTTTCGTATAATTGCTATAAAAACTTTAAAAATAAGTATTTTTTGATCAAATAAAAATATTTTCCTTCAGAAATTTTCCCAAAATAGAACTGTGATGCAAATATAACCCTGGAATACTCTTAGGATCTGCGGATAGTGGGGAAAAAATTATTTGATACCACCCAGATACTTTTCCTAAATCCTTAAATTTATAACTCCAATCAGCGCGTAATCAAGCTCAGAAAAAAACGATAGTACAATTTTCACCCATTGGTCTATTTTACTTGAGCTGCTTTACTACATGCATATGTGCATATTTACTTATAAACAAAACAAAGTGACCATAATAATATTAAAAAACATTCATATCGTACCATTTAATCATTTCAAGAGTGAGATCATTCACTGCCTTAGCGCAAACGTTTCGCCCCTCTCCAGTGCATATCACATTTCACTTTCTCCCGTCGCAACTCACCATTTCACTGTTTTATTGTAAATTTAATCATTTTGTATCACATTCAAATCACTCACCCACAATCCTGAACATCAGTACTCGGGTTCAACTACGTGCAGATCAATTGATTAATATGAAAAACTCTCTTACCACCAGGCGAATCGAATGTCTACACCTTGGGCAACATTGGTGCACATCGCATCGTCAGCACGAAATTACCTTCGGCTGGCAGTACTCGCGAAGCTATGACCGCTACAGGCAATACAACGACACGTCTATTGGGTACATTCCAAAAGGTCGACTATGTCTTCGTGGTGGGCGTGGCCGGTGGTGTGCCACATTATACAGATTACAAGAAGCATGTGCGACTGGGAGATGTGGTCGTTTCATATGTGGAGAAACAACGAGCGCTATTGAGCAAGTGAGTAAAAAATATATATAATTTTAATTTATTATGCAAACTATACACATTAGGGTGCATCACTCTAAAAAAAAACGGGTTTTTCCACCGAAATTATAAAATTTATTATACTTTAAGACTTTTGCCAAAATATTTTGTAAAAATATTAGATAAGTTTTATGTGAGCTAGGCCCGTTTGAAAACACCTACAAAAATTGCGTTTCTTATAAATAAAATTAGTTTTTAAAAATATTTTTACCAAACAATCACCTCAGATAATATAAGAGTTTAAGCTCAAAAGGTCTGCATAAAAATATTGTAAAATCTTAACAACGGAATCAAAATTATGATATTTTTGGAGGTATTTTCAAATCGGTCTAGCGCGTACTTAAACCTTAATATTTTCCGAAATATTTTGGCAGAAGGTAAAAAAAAAATAAATTTTATAATTCCGTTTCAAAATCCACAGCTTTTTTTTTTTGAATGCACCCTAATACAAGCATACATACGCATATATTGCGCTCTCATAATAATTCGCTATTCCTTGCTACATTTATAATAACAACACAGAAATGAGAAACCCTACGTTTATGTCTACAAGAGTG